TTGGTAAGCGGCAGGACCAGCATAATTTTTTCTGCACATATATGTAAGCTTATGTACCTTCCTACGTATACTCATGTCCTCCACATTCTATTATGACTGTCCATTCGCTTTCGCCGTTTATTTTATTTTATTATTTTTTTTTTTTAATATTTCCCTTCATGTCCAATTTTGTTCTGCGCGCACGGTAAAGCGTCCCATAGGAATATAACGGCTGGGAGGAAGAAGATAATTCACAAATATTTTTGCGGACGAGAAAAGACCGCTTTGACAAATGTGTCAGCACAGGCGCAACGAAATGTACGTGCGACTTGTTCCGCTTTGTTGATGGCGTGCCTTTGTGCACGCCCCAGTGCACACTCAGCACACACGGCTTCCCCAGCCCCTAAGACTTTTTCGCAAGAGAGGCCAAAAAAAAAAAAGGAGTAAGATACGATGCGATAAAAAAAAAAAATGGCCTCGAGTGAAAGCGGATGGGGAAACAAAGCGCACTCCGTTGGAGAATAATAAAAAAAAAAAAAAAAAAAATGACACGGTGAAAGGGAATGGAAAAAATTACAAAAATGTGCCCTTGAGTATGCGCCACTTATTTAGCACATCAAGTGCAAAAATCCCACCTTGAAAAAAATGCCCATGTGGTTTCACAACATTTCGGCACATGCTAAATGATGGTGGGGTCGACACATGCCCATTTTGAAAAGTGCGAGGAAAGCATGCCCTGCACGGTTTTTCCATTAAGAGGGGATACCTGCATGCCACACGTGTGCGCGTGTACTTCTCCCTGTGTACCACGCGCTGAAGTGACTCGTTTCCGACTTTTCCTACAAAGCATTTTCTCATACGCAGAGCTAGCACTGACGCGGGCAGCTTATAATCTCACACCCTTTAGCATAAAATGTATCTCGACAATGAACGCATAGACAAGGAAATCCTGGAAAAGCAATATGAAATAATAAAGTGTGCCAAGCACCAAGACTACATAAGGCTTCAGATAATCATTCAGCCCTACATTGTAAATAATGACATTGAAATGTTAAACGCAATTAACGTACTGCACTGGGCGTGCTACTGTGGCTTCACGGAGCTAATAAAAAAATTAATCAGTCTCAATATTGACATAGACAAGGAAGACTTAGTTAACAACGACACAGCCATTTACTATGCAATAAAGAATAGCCATTACGAAATTGTCTTACTCCTAATCAAGCACTTCGGTCCATCCATATTATTTCACAAGAACAGGAGAAAAATGAGTCCCTTCCTAACAGCCATTAGCGAATTTAACGAAGATAAAATTTTGGAAACGTTACACATTTTAGAATTACTTTATCTGAACGGGGCCAGTCTGGAAGAACAAAATGAGTATGGACAAACTGCTCTCTTCCTATGTGTGAAAAGAAACAACATAAGTACATTGCAGTGGCTACTGAGTAAAAGTGTTAATATAAACCATCGAGACTTTTATGGAAATACGATCCTACATATCGCCGTCAAATATTGTGATATAGATATCCTGAGATTGCTATGTGATTATGGATCCCTAAATTTGGTTTATCATACATCCATGCAAAATGATAATACCAATGTGTTCCAACTTTGTTTAAGGAACAGATACTTTTTGGTGTATATTTTGTTAAAAAAATGGATAATACAAGATAAACTTTGCAAAGGGATAAAAATATGCAAAACTATATACGCCTTTTATTTTTGGTTCTTCGCCATGTTAAATTTGATTGTCTATTTGAATATGTCCAGATCCTTTTGGGTTTATAAGAAGTATCATCCCTTGTCCATCACTTGGCTAGCTATTTGGCTGTTTCAACAATTCCTTTGGTGTATTTTATATTTTAAAAGGCCTGGGTTTTACAAACAAAATGAAACTCTTACTAAAAGGAGTAGGAAAAGGAATAATACTCCCTTTGCCTACACCTATGATTGTTCTTTCAAAAAAAAGACCGAGTATCAGCTAAACAGCATAGAGATGGAGCTGTTCAAAATAAACAAAACGATGACGTTGTCACACATGGATCCACATAAAACGGATATTCAAATCGACGCCGAACACGCTAAGTACGATCAACTCATCGTCAACTTGGAGTGCCAGAAGCTGTCCCTCTATTCGAAGGTTTCCCAGGAACGAGTTAACTCCCTTGATGTGGACTACAGGAATGCTATACTCTACAATAGGAATCCACGGGTGAGTGGGCTCGTACCGCATGGCGAACCTGGTCGTGGCACTTCCTCCTTTGTCACCGCAAATAGCACAACTGTCTCATTTACCCACTGCCCCATTCTTCCCCCCCCCCTCCCTTTCACAGAACGTTTGCGTCACATGCAACATCGTCAAACCTCCGAGGGTTCACCACTGCGCGGAGTGCTTCCACTGCATCGTGTAAGCTTGGAGCGGCCAGCACGCCGTAGGAACCAAGGCCTGAGCATTCCCGCTTCGCGTTCCCTGCAACCGCTACCATATGCCGCGTCACCGCGTTAGCACTTCTCCTCTTCACGCCTTTTCCACCCCGTGGCAGACATCAAGACCACCACTGCGTATGGGTTGACAACTGCATCGGTACGTCGCTCCCCCCCGCGCAAGCACCCAAATGGGTCTCCTTCCGGGGACTTAGGCCACAAAATTTCCTCTCCATAAATTGGCACACGCAAACAACTCACTCCCCCCCCACCACCACCTTCTCGCAGGGATAAAAAACCAGCGCGCCTTCTACCTCTTCATATTTTCCATGTTCGTCCTTCTGTTGTACAACTACTACTATGTGTTCTTGTACTTCAGTTTGTTTCACAAGACGGTGGACTACGTAAGGGAATATGGTGCTGCTCAGCCCGCTTAGCGTTCATTAGACCCTTTCGCCCCCTTGTTTTTTTTACAACCGCGTTACCCCCACGTTGCACCCGCCCATTTCCCCCTCCACAGGCCTTTGCCCTCCTCGTAATTCTGTGCAACTTCATCAACGTCACCCTGTTCGCCTTCATAACATATTTGTTTGCGCGCAACACGAGGACGATTTTAACGAACATTACCTTTTACGAGCACTTTAAAAAGTAAGGAGAAAAAAAAATTTGGACATTTACATATAGACATAGGAACGTGTAACGTGTGGTTGTGGGAAAAACGGCTCAACCTCTACTGTTATGATTTTTTTTTTGTTCTTTATTCCATTTGCCCACTGTTCATTCTTCCCCTTTTTTTGGTCAATTCTGCAGGCCGAGCCACATAACGGATAAGTACAACACCGCGTTGAGATGCTGGGATTTCCAAAATTTAAGCTTCAAGAAAATGCTCAAGTTAGATATAGCAAAAAGTAGAAAACAAAAATACCAGCATGTTTTTTTTTTTTTTGCATTGTCCTATTTTGAAATACCAATGTGTACTGCGTACAGGGTATTTCGTTTTGGCATGCTTCTTGTTGTAAGTGCACTTTTATTATCCTTTTTATGTGCCCCCCACACCTGCGCAGAAATGTGTACTCCTTTTGGTCCCTGCATTACGATGAGCCTTACCTAAAACACGAGAAACAAAAGGTAACCGCGTTTTTGTTTTTCCCCCACATATTAATACATGTATAAATACGTATTGCTTTTCCCATGTCACACGTGCATTTCCTCCCTTTTGCAGACTGATGATATTTACTATACGCTTATTTCGGACAGAGTATAGGAGAGAAGATTAGTGCAGGTAGAATATTTCCCACTCACCCATTATGGTTCCCCGCTGTTTTGTTGATGACTCCCGTTTTTTTTTTTTTTACCATTTTTTTTTTAAGCGCGTATCTGTTCAACACACTGTTGTATCCTTTTTACGATCCGATGTGGCATCAGCAAAAGGGGGAAAATAGACGAATAGCAAACCCTCCAAAGTAGTAATTTTTTTTTCTTTACTTTTTCTGCGTACATTACGCACGCCGCCTTGGCAGGAATGCCACGTTGAGAGTTTTTTCCCAGCACTCCTCTCATTTTTTTTTTTTTTTTTAGTACTCTTTCGCTAAATAACTGTTTTTGTTTTTAATTTTAATTATAATTCTATTTTGTGAAACGTGTATTTTTGCGTGCCCCTAAATGAGGGCCATGGGGAAGAGACGTAAAAAGTTGAGCCCTCTTTTTCTTTTTTCTTCTTCTTCCTCCCGCTTGTTCTGTGCCAACCCCACAGTAACATATCATTATGCCCGTTGCAAAAACTCTGTTTTTCTCCGAAAAAGGGGAGAGACACCCAATTAGGGAAAACCCTTATAAGGGGTAAAAACACTCACGGAGGGAATAACAAATGCACTGAAAAGACAACCCTGCTCTTTACTACCTCACGAGCTGACTTCTTCAAACTTTCTCCCTCGCAACGCTTCCCTTGCATAGCTACTATATGTGTGCTCTCTCAAAGGAAGAACAAAATTTTAGCACGTTTGTGTGTACACCTGCGTGGATATTTACATGTGTAATACAATTTTGTTCAGCTTCTGCAATTTTTTTTTTTTTTTTTTTTTTTTCTTTGCACTTGTTGTGTGCGGGAATACTAGCCCTGTTCGCAAAGTTGGAAAAAAAAAAAAAAAAAATTAGGGTAAAGAGCCCAAGTGCCCCTCGCAAATTTTCGCCCTTATTTCCGCGAACTCTTTGTGCAGTTTTTCCCCCTCATGCGGTCGTTCTTGTAAATGGTTAAAAGTTGCCGCGAACATTTTCACTGCAGCGTTAGCACGTTTTATTCGCCTTTTTTTATGTGCCTTCTGATGTCCCCCTTTTGTATGCTCCCCTTGTATTCCCCGCTTCCCCCCCCCCCCCTATTTGTTCGCTTCATTCCCCTCGCACAGAGGGGTTCCCGGATCTTCCACCCCTTCAGATCGACAAATCGGTCACACGTGAAAAATTTGCGTAAAGCATCCAAAACGCAGTAATGTATTAGTGCCAAAGGAGGGTTCCTCCGAACGCACGCGCGGTTTAAAGGAATAGGACGAGACGACCCAAGCCCGTACGCTCCCCCTCCCCCCCCTACACACCTTAACATGGAGCTGAACGACATACGGAGAAAGGTTGAGAGCGAAAACAACAACCGCATCCACATCGCGAAGGCCAAGTTCCGCAACTGCTTATGCCTCTTCAACAGCTACTCCAAGTGTTACGTGAACATCAAGAAAAGCTCCAACAGGGAAACTTCCAAATATGACAAAATATATGGAAATGAAAACATCAGACTTGGGGAAGAAAAGAAAGCGAAGAATTCGAGCAAAGAAACATCGCTCGAGTTTACCTATCCCTACCGGTACGAACAAAACAGAAGCGTCTTCCTAATTATAAACAGCGAAAACATCAATTCTGGAAACTCTAGCATATGCCACAACGACATTATATACATTATATATAACAATAAAAAGTATGAACATGTTAATGTGCAGAAGAGGAAAAAAAAGAGGAAAAAAAAAACGGAAAAAAAAAAAAAAAAAAAAAACGCCTTACATGATGGGAAAGGAGACAACTATGGCAGTCTAATGGGTTCAATACCGACCCAGCCATTCGACACCAACCCGATGTACAATAGCACAATATTCGAAACAAACAACATGAATTTCGGTGAAACATATGATAGTAAAAAAAAAAAAAAAAAAGAAAAAGCGGCCCAAGAGGGCCTAGCGGCATTAACAAGTAAGGCAGGAAAATTAAGAAATAAAAAAAATTTCATTTACTCAGATGATGACGATTCAGACAACAACTACGAACACATTTTTACACACATCAATTCTAACCTGCACTTTTTGAGTGTGTC